ACACACACACACACACACACATACATATAAGCTTTACTGGTTTTGCTTCTCTAGAGAACCCAGCCTAACACAACTGCTAACCAGAAGGCTGGTGGTTCATATCCACCAGCCACTCCACAGAAGGAAGACTGGGTAATCTACCTCCAAAAGATTTACCGCCTTGGAAACCCAAAGGGGGTTGCTATGAGTCAGCAACGACTCAATGGCAGTGAGTTTGGTTTTTTCAGTTTTGTTAGAACAACTGAATTTTCCCCTTCCAGGATGAGAAAGAATTTCTATCTCTTTATTTCTTGTACATTTTAAAACAGAAAGTCATACAAAAGTGAAACATAGGTCTGACAAGGGCTGACCAGATGGGGGACTATGTGTACTGAAAGTGAGGCATCAACCATTAAGCCATGCCCAGCCACCAGGAGTTATTAGGAAGAGCCAGATCTTCTCCCACTGGTTGAAACAGCAGCAATAACCATTTGCCTACTCGTCACTTTCTATGGGTAGATTCCCAAATGATGGCCATGGTGGTGAAGTTACTGTGAGTGAAATGAAGAAACATGGACAGGATAGAAAGTTCTTCACAAAGATAATTTCCTTCTGTCCTCTCACCACATCCAGTTTGTCCCCAGCACCTTCCCATGACCCTTCACCAGCCCTTCCCACTACATACTTTGGAATCCTCATTCTAAATATACTCCCCACTACACCCTTTTCTCCAGTACTTCCTCTACCTCCTCCTCGCTCTTAAAATATGGCTAATCTCCTGAAAATACCATTTCCCTTCAAATTTCTCTCTAAAGCAAGCCATTCTACAACTTATAGAAGGGGTGAATGCTTTTCTTATCCCCACCACCTGCCACTATCATTAAACAAGTTTCCTTCCTTTAAAGCCAATTGTATCACCTTTCTCCCATCCACGTGTTATCCACTCCAAAGAGTGATCAGCTGATAAGCCAGCTCTTGGAGTGCAGTGGGGTGGGGAAAGCCCTGACTTGCAGCATTTACCAGTTTCTGGGGTATACAAATACTCCCACCATAGCAGATTTCAAGCTACCAACGTGGCATTACTGAATGTGGACCTGGGAAGAAAAGCACAGAGTCAGCTCTTGTGATTATGAGTGTGTATACATAATCACCACTGACTAGTATTCTTCCTCTGAAACTCCCTCTCTGACCTTCACTGGTGGTGTCTAGCACAGAGTAGGCATTTAATAAATATATGTTGAATGAATTAGCCAATTCTCCTTCCTTTAGCTCCCTATACAAAATAAAAAAGAAAGCAGTTGCTGTGGAGTCAATTCTGACTTTTGGCAACCCCATGTGTTGCAAACCCTATATTCTTCTCCATCACACTTAACTCACTGAGAGATTAGGGTACATGCTATGCCTTAAGTGCTGCTATTTTTGTCACCATGAGGAAAGAACCTGCTTGAGAATGGAGTCATATAAATTAAAAGAGCTGAGCAGAAAAGCAAGAGAAAGTTCTAATAGTATCATTTGAGCATCCCTCCCCTGTATCTAACCTGGATATTTCCGGTCTGTGAGTGCATATATTCCCATTTGCTTGTGTTAGTTTGAATTGGGGTTTCTGTAATTTGCTATCACAGGGCCCTGACTGTGATAATTTCCTTTTCTTTAAGTGCTCATAAACTATTCTTCCAGTCAGCATTTATTCTCTACTCTTTAAAAATTGGGATGTGACATCACCTCCAGTCTCTGCACCACCTGCATTCTCCACAGTTCCTCAAAGGACACCAATATGGCTTCACGGGCACACCTGCTGGTTCTTGAGTTCCCTGTGATGGAATTCACTGGTGTGTGAAAGTAGCAGGTACCAGAGGCTTAATAGAGGCATACACCAATTCTAGCTTATCCACATGGGTTTTCCATTTTTTCCCCTCTAACAAAATATCATTGGCCTTAATAAAGATGGCAGAAAAATGCTAAGCAGTTACCTCCTGTGTAAGTTATTAACCTGCTAACCACTACCCAATCAGCCTCCAAATGGCAGACACTTTCTTGTTCTTCCTACAGAACACAGCTAAAAACTCTTGTCTATTTTTACACAATCTAGCTATATTTAGGATAGTTTTCACAGATGTTCTGGAATCAAGTTGTCTGAAGGACATGCTTCCAGGGCCCATGTTACTACATCTGTTATCCTCCATACCCTGAAAATGCTGCCTCACCTGCTTCCCATACAAATTCTAGAGAACCTGCCCATTTTTTTAAAATGCATTTTATTGAAATATAATTTATGTACAGTGAAAAACACAAAACTAAAGTGACTAGGGTCGATGCACTTTTTTTTTCTTTGTAGCACTCTCTCCCCTCCCCTTCCCACCCTGGTAACCAACAAAGAAAGTTTCCTTCCATATATAAACCTTTCCTTGACTTTTTTGCAATGATGAACTAATACTACATTTGTCCTTCTGTGACTGACTTATTTCATTCAGCGTAATGTCCTCCAAGTTCATCCATGTTATGTGGTGTTTTGCCAATTCTGTATTATTCTTTATGCTGCATAGTGTTCCACTGTGTGTATGGACCACAGTTGGGTTATCCATTCTTGGGATGGGCACATAGGTTAATGAAGACATAGGTTATTTCCATCTGTTTGCTATTGTAAATAGTGCTGTGATGAACATGGGTGTGCGTATATCAGTTCTTGTCTGTCTCTCACTTCTTTAGGATATATACCTAGTAATGGGATTACTGGGTCAAATGGTATTTCTAATTCCAGCTTTTTAAGGAATCACCATACTGCTTTCCACAGTGGTTGTATCATTTGGCAGTCCCACCAATCTCTCTACATCCTCGCCAGCATCTCTTATTTTCTGTCTTGTTGAACTTTGCCATTAGTGCTGGGGCAAGACGGTATCTCACTGTTGTTTTGATCTGCATCTCTCTGATGGCTAATGATTGTGAGCATTTCTTCATGCCCATTACATCTTATAAATCAGTTTCCTGCAATTATTAGGGATTTTAAAAAACAAAAACACCCTAGATGATGGACATTCACTGTATACCAAATATAGGCCTAACATATAGTGCTTGATATTGCTTTGTAGAAAATATAACCTCACATTCCCTCCAACATACACACACACCAGTCCAATTCCAGTAACTTAAGGAGCCCTGTGGTATAGTAGTTGAAGCATTCGGCTGCTAACCAAAAGGGGCTACTAGTCAAAAGGTCAGTAGTTCAAACCCACCAGGCACTATGTGGGAGAAAGATGAGACAGTCTGCATCTGTCAAGATTTACAGCCTTGGAAATCCTATGGGGTAGTTCTACTCTGTCCTACAGGGCCACTATGAGTTGGAATCAACTCGATGGCAGGTTTAAGGAAGATGGAGCAATCTACTTCCGTAGCGATACTGCCTCAGAAACCCAAGGAGGGGTCGCTATGAATCGGGGCCAACTCGACAGCAAATAACAACAACAACAACAACAACAACAACAAGGTCTAAAAAGTCAGGTCCGACTTGACGGCACATAACAACAACAACAAGGTCTAAAAAGGAGCTCTGGTGGCATAGTGCCTAAGGCATTTAACTGCTAACCAGAAGGCTGGCAGTTCAAACCCACCATCCACTCTTTGGAAGGAAGATACTGCCTTGGAAACCCAAGGAGGGGTCACTATGAGTCAGATTTGACTCGAAGGCAGTGAGTTCAGTTTTTTTTTGAAGGTCTAAAAGAGAATTCTTTATTTTGGGCTGGGCCTATCACAAATTTCTAAAAATTTCTAAATATATCATGCATTTTCTGGCTTCTGCTGTTTTATCGTTACCCTATTCCTCTCACAAATTTCTAAATATATCATGTATTTGCTGGCTTCTGCTGTTTTATCGTTACCCTATTCCTCTCACTTGGGGA